GGGCAGCGCCGCCATGTTGGGGAGGTCGGCGCTGAGGCGGAGGGGTCAGGGCGGGTCCTGCTCCCTGTCCCGCTCCTTGTCCCTCTCCCTTCCCGGGCTCCCACCCTCATCCACAGCCCCAGGAGGCACAGGGCGGGCACGGAGAGCCTCCCTGCCCAGCCCTGCGTGTTTCCCCCAGCCCCGGAGCCTCCTGAGGGCTCGGCGGGCGGGCGGGATGTGACCCATCCCCGAGCCTGGAGGTCACTGGTACTCCGTTGGCCATGGAGGTGAGGAAAGGAGGGAGCGGAGCCCGTTCCCTGTGGGAACATCCGCTGTGTTTTGGCGCCAGTCCCGCTGGCCAGTGGCGTGCGGACGTTATTCCTTAGGGAAGGGGCACAGGGAGTCACCGCCGCCCTCTCTTTGCTCCCACAGAGCTGCATCCCACAGGGAGGAGCCCGCCCGGCATCCCAGGCGCCTTCCCTGCCCGAGGGGATGAGCCAGGAGCCTCGCGGAGAGCTGGGATTGCCTGGGATACCGCATGGAATGTGTCCCAAGTGCCCCGTGGAGGGCTGGGATAACCCGGCAGGAGACGTGGGATTCACCCCCCACCAGGTGAGTACCACATTCCCAAAGGATCCCAAAGGATCCCAAAGGATACCCGCGGTCAGGCAGGGCTGGGAATGGGACTTCTTGCAGCAGGATGGAGGGGAACGCCCGGGAAAACGCCGCTGGAACGCTGCATGGGATGGAGCCAACAGTGCCCGGCTGCTGGAAAACTCGGTGCCTGTTTCCCTCTGGAAAAATCCCAGAGGATGGGCAGGAACAGCCCGAGGCTGCCGCGCCTTTTCCCCCGCTCCCAGGGCGAGGGGACGGTGTTTCGCACCCTTCTGAGCCGCCCAAAGAGCTGAAATCCAAGGATTTAAACCTCCCCGAGCGCCGCACGCCCCGGGCTTTGCATCTGGGTTTGTTTGAGCTGGAGGTTTATTGGTGCTTTTAAGGAATCCAGTCGCCATCTGCCGGCAAATGTGGCTGCTCTGGGGGGAAATTCGGGATTTAAGGGCAGTTTCTGTGATTTCCTGGGTGGAAATGAGGATTTTTAGGATGCTTGAAGGGGCAGGTGGGTTTGGAGTGAGGAAAATGAAATGCAGATCCCACCCCAGACACCTCTGCGTCGCGCAGAGCTTAAAATAATACATCAGCGTGGGGAATATCTTGGGGGTAAATGAGATAAATTGAATAAATTAGAGGTTTTTTGAGGGAAGTTTGATGTTTTTAAAGGTTTGGGCTGGTCCTTGTGCTCCATTAGAGCAGCTGAGGGCTTGGATGGAGAGACATAAATTGGGGATGGATGAACATGGGAGGGATGAGAGGTTGGATTGGTGGCCAAAGTTTCCTAAATTTACGGGCTGATTTGACCAGGAACCCAAAATTATGGGGAAACACCCCCAATTTATGAGAAAACACATCAAAATTGAGGGAAAACACTTCAAAATTAAAGGAAAGCCCCTCAAAGTTAAGGTGAAAGACCTAAAAATCAAGAGAAAACACACTAAAACAAGGGAAAATACTCCAAAACTAAGGGAAAAGACCTCAAAATTAAGGGAAAGGACACCAAAATAAAGAGAAAACACCTAAAACTTGGGAGAAAACACACTAAAATTAAGGGAAACACTCAGAAATTAGGGGACAAACACCTCAAGAGTAAGGGAGAGCACCTCAAAATAAGGGAAAACGTCACAAAATTAAGGCAAAGATCCCCAAATTATGCAAAAAGATGTCAAAAGGGAAAACATCTCAAAATTAAGGGAAAATATGCCCAAGCTAAGGGAAAACACAGCAGAAGTAAAAGAAAGCACCTCAAAATTAAGGGAAAACACCCAAAAATTAAGGGACAACACCCTAAAATTAAGGCAAAACACCACAAAATCGGGGG